GTTGCTGGCTTTCCTGTAGCAACTGTGCTTATGCTTGGGAGTTGTTCTTTCTTCTGTAGTTAATGCTGAAAATAACAAACAGATAAATGGAGGCATAATCATACAGGGCAAAAGTTTGATTCATGAGGTGAGTCCACAGGGAGCCATGACTGGTCATCCTGTACTCTCACTCCATGGCCAGTTTCCAGGATTCTCAAAGTGCCATTCTTCTTGTATCAAACATAACCAAACTACTTAAGAGGCCACATAGAGACTGGTATCTAGCCCAGCTAACAATGCTTTTGAAACTCAAATCATGTGAAAAATCTATTTTGTACTTCTGGCTGCTTAAAAGTAAAACTTGCTCTAAATTGTCCTTTACCCAGAACTGAATAATTCTCACTGCAAGGAAATCAACATAGAAAATCCTGACCTGGATCAAAGTGTATTTTAGCACAAAGTAGGGATCTTTCCACTTATTTCATAGAATATTAATCAGGACAATTAATCTATTATTTTTGTCCCTGGTTTTAGATGAATGTTTTCAAAAATCTCCATAAGGAAACTTGTATCACTTACATACATATAGTAACAGATATTGACAAAAAATCTTTTATCTAGGGGTCTAGTTTTATATGATTTTTTTTATTATGAACATATCACCTGTAAACAGCCTTCATAAATGGAAAATTCCACATGTGTTTTTATTGTTGGAATTCACATCACCTTTCACCTTCTGTTCAGGCAGATTGCTTCCTAATAGAGAGTGATTAAATTGTTCAAAGTATGTACATACAAAACACACAAGGAAATATACTAGGGAAAACAAATCTATTAAAATTACTCCATAAAAGACTAGCTTTCTCAGTAAAGATTTTACATCATCATCGCTTCTATACTTAAAGATCTGGGTGGGAGAGAAGAGCTATTTCTCAATTGTACTTTAAAAATATACCAAAAGTAGACTTCTACAGTAAAGATAAAAACTAGATTCCTATGATTCTGGGACACCAAGAACTCCAAGAGCTCATTTAATTCATTTTTCAGCTTCCCTACTTCAACCTCCTACACTTACCCACACCCAAAACCAATATTCTCACACAGTGGTTGTTTAGTTTCCACTTAAATATTTTCAGTGACTAAACCCACCACCTCCCATAACTAGTCATTTCAAGAATATTCACTCAATATACTTTCATTCTGCCCCCAAATATTAACATCTAAATACTAATATCTAAATTTTAAAAATTAATAGAATTATCGTAAGTACATATTTTTCTGCTTGTTGGTAAAACTTCAATGCTAAAAAAATCTTTTATTACTGTTTTAATATTACTGGCTAATATGTATTGAATATTTACAATGTGCAAACTCTAAGGCCTTTGCATATATCGGCTTATTTAGTTCTTATAACATTTCTGTAGAGATTTTCCGATTGTTTCAATTTCACTATTCTAAATACTAGGGCACAAAGAGATTAGGTAAACTTCTCAAGGTCATACAGTTAATAAGTGGTAGATACAAGATTCACACCCACTCAGAACCCACAGCCTACTCTCTTTACTACTGTGTCATACAGAAATAAAGGTGGCTGTGGTTACTATCCCACTGTTATGCCCTGATTATTCTTGGTTCACTCTCTGGACTTCAAAGTAAAAAGCCAATTGGTCAACTGGCTTAGACATTTGTGAGGAATGTCCAGAATTCTCTTCCCTTTACCTTCATTTTTGAGTTTTAGGCAAAAATACTATTGTGCTCAGTTATAGAGACACAGAAGAAAATGACAAAAATTTATGCAGATACACTCCTTGCCTTCTCTCTCTGACTTCTGTTTCAATATGATAATTTTACCTTTTTTTGAAGATTTATAATACTTTATTTCAATTATTCTTATTTTAATCTAATTTATCACTTTATCTTAGTGGATTACTTTTTTATTGTTTTAGCTACTTTTTTTTTTAATTGCAGTGACATTAGTTTTTACCTTTCTTAAATCTTGGCTTTACACATTGATCAACTGTTTCTCCTCCTTGAACAAATTATTTCAATTTTCCAAACTTTTGGTGTTTCTTTCAGTCATTTTTTACCTTGTTTCCAATGATCCCAGGGCTTTCCTCTCACCTTAACTATCTCCACTTCTAAACTAGAAATAGGGCACACCAAATCAACAGTTTTTCACTCTGTTTTCCATAGTTTAAAACTATTGATCAATTGAAAAATAGCATATATTTCTTCATAAAAGATTTGGCTAATCATATAAAGTTAAACATAAAAGTGTGGATTTACACTATGAGCTGGAATACTTTTTAGAAAATGGATTTAGAAAATGGACTCTGAGAAACATGATTAGCTAGATTAGCTTAAATTTGTAAGAGAATAGCTATCACAACAAATTATTTTTGAAGCCATCAATAATTATTTTATTAACTGCACTTGCTTCTTTTCAGGTTATTAATTTATAATTCTTATATAAGTGTAGGAATTAAATGAGCATTTGGTCACAAAACATAATAAAAAATTTCACAGACACTTTTCAAGTTTGAGACACATTGCAGAGAAGCAAAGCAGAAATAGTTTACTATGTTCCTTTAGTTAAAAATATCAGATTAAATTTGAAGGTTAGTTGAAAAAATGTTAAAATATTAATTGTATCTGCTATTTTACTTCTTCTGTACATTTTTATGTTTACTAAAAATTGGACTTCTGAGATACAATGAAAAAAACTGCAATTCCTACTATAATTCTGAGGACATAAGAGTTGTATTTCATTTTCTATTATGTGCTATGTAGCAGACATATAAGCCTTTCAAATCAAATTTTGTATTTCATTTCCAGTTCGAAACCTCCTGCAACTTCCTTTAAGAAAATTGTCTACAGAGAATATGAAGCATATTTTGAGAAAGAAAAACCACATTCTAGAATTTCAGGTAGGGCTGAAGTGTATTTTCTTAATTTTAAAGATAAGTATTGATAATTTAATATTCTAGATACAGTGGTGAATTTTTTAGCTTTTTTTTTTTTGCTATTTTTAATCAATATGGGCTACAATACTTGTGGGGCATGGTACAAAATGAAATGTAGGGTTCCTTATTCATTTTATTGAGAACTTCTAAAGAGTGACAGCAAAACATTAAGCCAAGCAGAACCTGGAGTCTTGCAGTTTTATAGGTCACATTCCATGAAAAGTGTTATTTTTCAGCCTTTATCAAAAAGCTAAATTAAATTCTTCAGCATTTGAATTTTTATTCACTTAACAAACTATTACTAAGCAGTTGCTATAGGTAAGTCTCATCTTTGTCTTCTGATTGCCACTCTCAGACCCACCGCCCAACAGAAGACTCTACTGGCTCTTCCCACTTGTCAGAGATGCCTGTGACCTCAATAGGGTGTTGATTGGCCACACTGAGCATTGTACTTTGTTTCTATGGTTGCCCTGACTGTTGATTTGTTTGTTGGCATCACATGACTGAAAATACCAGATGCCCAGAAATAAGTCTTCTAAGTTATTTAACCTAATAAGACCTTTTAATGCAATGAATGGTTTGGAATACTTATTTAGCCTCCCTTTTTGCTTCTTCAGAATAAAAGCAAAACAAAAGGGTGTTTTCATGAATGCAGGCCAAATGCCTTCATGAATGTAAGCAAAACCATGGCTGATATTTTTGGAGCGCTTGTTATGCTCTTTCTTTCCCACCTCTCCTTAGTGCCCAGAGCTGAACTGAGGGGAAGGAGTGGCCTCTCTTGGGATCCTAGGAAGGTAGCACAGCATGTACTCAATTTCTTGTGGTGAAGTTGGAAAGGGCGGCAGAAAGTTAATTAATCCCATCCCTTGCTCTCACATGAGTAAATGCAGGGCAACCCATTGTTGCAGCTGCTTTTACTCCTTTAAGGACAAAAGTTTCATAATCTTCCTTGAAAATATGCAGAGGAGCTTAAAATTAGCCATGGAAAAACCCAAAACAGGAGTCCTGAAAATGAACTTGACCCCTCCACATGTCCGCAAACTTCAATGTGTAGGTCAATCTCAGGCCACTGGTCCTGCAGCCTAACCATCCTGTCTGACCCCCTACCCCATGACAATAACTTCTGAGTTCCTGCTGTAGAAGTGGGCCTTATCACTTGTTCCACTAGAATCATGACCACCAGGTGAATATAGCAGAAACTAGGGGAAAGGCACAAACATAGAACTGGGCTGGGTAACAGGGAAGACCATGTAGTCAATAGTAGTATTCGAATTCAGATCTTCTGATTCAAAATTTGATGCTTTCCTTACATCAGACTTGCCTTCTCATATCAACTATTACAGGGGTACAAAGATGAATAAGATACCACTCCTGCCTGGCAGGGGCTTTTAGTTAAGCAGTTTGGGTATTTCAGAAAAAAAACTGCATAAAACAAATATGTTGTAGGGTGCTCAGGATTGACAGAAGCTTAAGTACAAATTAACTATCACAGTCTGCTTCTAGTTAATGAAATTGAATCAGATTTCAAAACTATGCCTCCTTATTGTTTACAGAATAAATTCAGCAGCCTGGTGCTAGTCCGCTCTGTCACTAAGGGCTTTCAGCACAATGATTTAAATAGAAGACACTCAAATTTAGATAACTTAGCAAAAGCCACAAAAGGCAGGGTTCCAAATACCTGCCTAATTCCTCTTTTCCAGACCCAATGACTGTTTCACAGATCATTTTTACCCAACAACAGTTTAATTAAACTGTTTTTAAGTATTCTATTGTACTTCTCTCTCTCTTTCATGCCACAGCCAACCCATCAGCAAATCTTGTTGACTCTCCCTTCAAAACATCCAGCATCCAACCCCTTTTCACCAAATCAATGCTATACGTCATGGTCTAACACCCCGTTGTCCCTTGTCTATACCTCCTCATCCCATTTCTACTCCATCACTGTGAGATGCCCCCATCATTAGTTCAGACTATTCTCTATATAGCTGCTAGGATAAACTTTTTAGGATAAATTTTTTTTTTTAGAATGAATTTCTAATACATGGCAGACCACATCACTATATTTCACAGAGCTCTAGTAATTCCCCAACCCAATAGCCTTACCTTAACCCCTATGGGCCAATGCAATCCACACCAGACACCATCTATTCTCACTCTAACTTCATTGTTTTTCTTACTGTTCCAGAATATCAAACTCACTCCTGCCTCACTTCCTCACTTCATTACTGTCACTGTCTCTCCCACTTCAGAGATAGATCTAAACCAAGTATCTTACCAACTTCACACGATATAACTGAAAATGAATCTCTTTTTTTGACCAAAGATTGTGGTCTCTAAGGAATGACAGTGGGTCAGAGTGGAGACATGGCCAGAAGTATTTTTTCTACTCTTGACTGGCTTTGGGCCTAACCCAACAGTTCTACATCCCTGTCTTTATCTGACTGTGCATAAGATAGTGTTAATGATCTGGCAAACTCTTCTAGATTCCTGATAGGGGGGTTAATTTTAGAACCAGAAGGGATGGCAGCAACCACTGTTGGGGTTTTCTGTATCTTTAACAGTTCTGTCTTTTGTAGTGCTAAACACAGATTTATTTTGAATCTTCATTATATAGGGCTTCTTGGGCCTACTTTATATGCTGAAGTTGGCGACATCATGAAAGTCCACTTTAAGAATAAAGCAGACAAGCCCTTAAGCATCCATCCCCAAGGAATTAAGTATAGCAAATTCTCAGAAGGTAAGCACAATTTCATGTCTTTCTTATGGGGAAATGTACAACACTTTAAAATCAGCATCAAACACTTAAAAAATATTGTATTGTTAGCTGTGCATTACCAAAATCTTTCCTGCAACTGGGTAATTATTAAAAAATTACTGCCTTGTCAAGTTTCAGAGAGAAAATGAAAAGCTACTGGAACCATACAGACCTCAGTTTTTCACTGTGTTCTTTTCCTCACTAGTTGGATAGGAAAATTACCTTTCTCTTTGAATTCCAATATATTCACCTTTGAAGTGAGAATAATAAAATATGTAATGCAAGATCATTTGAGGCAGAAGTTAGCAAACTTTTTTATAGAGTCAAATAAGTATCTTTGGCTTTCTGAGTTACAGAAATTCAGTTGCAGCTACTCAACTCTGCCTTTTAGTATGAAAGCAGCAGTAGACAACAGCAAGTGAACGTAACTCTATCCCAATAAAATTTTACTTACAAAACCAAGCAGTTGGATACATAAGCCATAAACCATAGTTTGATATAGTGGTTTAGGACTAGCCTGGTATATAGAACATTTAGTAAGGGTATTTCATAATGGTATAAGTAGTATAAATATTAGAATTTTGGATATAGAGAAATGGTTAAGAATATAAGTATTGAAGGCAGAATTAGTTTAAATTTCAGCATTATCATTTCTGGTTCTCTGATCTTAGTATCTCTGAGCTTCTGTTTTTCCATTTATAAAATGGGAAGGGTTATGTCCACTCCATAAGACTGCTTGGAGAATTAAATGTGATCATTTAGTAACACGGTAAATATGAACCCTGGAAACTTGTAAGCCTCTAATACATGAGAATAGTGACAATGATGATAATGGTAAGTATGATGGTGTTGGTAATGAAAATGGTGAAAAAGTGACCCTATCAGCCTCAGGATAGTAAATACCTACTATTGACGTTCTTACTATTTCCATTATGCTGATGTTTGGAATAAATTCAGATAAACAGAATATATTTCAGTCAGGAACTGACATTTTAAAAGTTGAATGTATAGCAATTTAAAAGTTGAATGTATATCATAGTGTTTATATATCAACATTTAAAAATAACTTCAGACCTTTTAGAGCTCACAAATATCTTTCTTTTCCCCACATGTTCTACCATCACACTTTTTAAAGAGAGGAATTGAGTAGGGAAGTGATTTATGGTGCATATTCTAGAACTAGATGCAAATCCTGATTCAGACATTTATTAGCTGTGTGACTTTTGGAAAATTATTTAACCTCTCTGTTCCTCATCTCTCTGATCTGCAAAATGGTGATAATAATTTACCTACCTCATGGTTTGTTTTCATGCAATCTGAAAGTAATGGCTAGTGCATGAGAATAATAGCTATGATGGTAAAGGTGATTCTTCAATTATAGCATTCAAATAATTTAATATTTCTGACAATTCATGGATTATCAAGTTTTTTTATGCTTATTATTTCCTATGTAAATTGTTTTCAAATTCATTCTAAGGTATAAGTGATGATAAGAGGTCAATGAGTATTTATGTAGCATTTAATTGTAGGCTTGGAGCAAAACAATGAAATATTAACTACAATTCAGGCATCTTCAAACGCCAATTTTCCAAGATGCTGAAAGAGGTAGCATGCCCAACTCTCTTATGTTCCTAAAATCATATTGTGACATACTGAAGAAACATTTCAACTACTTATGGAAGCTTCAGGAATTTAGTAAATGGACCAGAAAGGAGAGAACCCTCTAAATGTCACAAGCAAATTCCATTTCAAATGTAGGAGGAGGCTAGTGTTATGAACTTTGTAGCTCAGCTGTGCTATTTGCACAGGGAATGAACCTTGCAACATAATCACTCTCTTTTTACTGTTTGCTGTCCCTGCACTCCCCCACAACCA